GGAGGAGGAGGAGGAGGAGGAGGAGGAGGAGGAGGAGGAGGAGGAGGAGGAGGCGGAAGAGGGAGAGAGTGGAGGAAGGAGGGTGAAGGATCACTCGGGGGGTTCGGTAGCAAGTCATGGGAGCCTAGTGGACACTCTGAAGTCCGTCTTGAGCGACGACTAGCGTCGAGTAGCGTCTGGGAGTCGATGAGATAGCGCCGATTTTGCATCCGCTAGCGTCGATTAGTGTCGATCAAGCGTCGGTTCGCTTGTACTAGCGTGTCGATTAGCGTCGATCCGCACGAGCCGACAACATGATGTGGGATGCTCCCATGAGTTGCCACCGAAGGGCGGGGCCGGGGAGCACTGAGAACACACATGAAGCCCGTGCCCCCCTGCCTGAAATTCGGGTCTTCGGGTTGGGTTGGGGTGGTCTGGCAGGCTGTCAGCCAGGAGACAAGCCCGCAGCGCTACCCGGCGCACGCGGCGGCGACGACGCGGCGACGAGGCGGCCACGGGCGGCGGCAGGTCGAAACCCAGAAGCGCATGCCCACCACTTGAGAAGTAAAGCGGGAGCCCCTTAGTGTAGCCGCTGCTTTGGGAGGCAGAGGTTCCGTCCGGCTTCAGCTCGACGTCTGGACCGTGTTGTGTCGTCTGGAATGCTCAGACACTATTTCGCACGGCCTTGTCGAAGCATTGCTTCTCGCATTCTGTGCGCATTCTTAGCTGAACTTCGAGCTAACATTGCGTTCACACGCCATGCGGTGCTTCAGGCGGGCGTGCCGGAGTCATCGAAGAGGCGGTGGGTGTGATTTCTCTGCCAGCTGCTGGGTGGGTTCGCCTACGGCGTGGGCACCGACACAACGCCACCATCATTCTCAACGTATTCCTGCTCGTCGTCGTCACCCCCACCCTCCTGCTGCTCCCGGTGCTCCTGCTCCCGCCGCTGCGACTGCCGACCTCTGCCTCCTCGGTCCTCGAGCCTTCTGGCCCAGCGATGCGCCAGCGCCGCGCAGAACCGGGCAAAGGCCTCGCATACTTCCTCGGGGGCCAAATGGAGAGTTCCAAAGAGGCTCCGAGCTGTCATCTCTTCCTCGGCGGAAGCTGGCGGAAGGCGGCGGAAGTAAAACGAGGCCAACTCCGCCGGCGGAAGCCGGCGGAAGGTGGGTGGAAGCCTGCGGAAGCAAAAGTCGACCTCTTGAGAGATGACAGCATTTTTGGGTTCAGGTCTTTTGAATCGGCCAAATGATGCAGCCTTGCTCTGTGTTGTGAGTAGTTTGTTAGCATACTCCGTTCTCGTTTGTCGTGGCCAACGGCCACGTGGTTGCAACACGACGTGACGGAACCGCCGGTGGTCGCCTGTCACCCGCGACCGTGCCAACACGCTGGGCAAGCACAGCGTAGCACATTACATCACATCGCACTGTCCTCGTGTGCGAGGCGGGGCTCTAGTCAAGGGAGGACGCCTACCTTGACCCCTGCAACTGGCATTTACATTTGCTGAACAATCTTGGGCGCTCACAAGACAGCAATGCCCTGTTCAATTCCTTCCATGGGTACGTTTACCGTAGGGGTGCCTTTTGTGAGGCTGGTTATGCCGCCCTATCTAAATAGTTGTGCCGGTTGCTGGTAGCGAAAGTCGGGCATGTCCCTCTAAAGGGTTAACATTCTAACATCGTGAAAAATAATATGGGGACGATTTTGTATTTTATTTATATATATATATGTCATTACGTGGTCATGTATTTATTTATCTATCCATTAATTTGTTTATCTATGTGTTTATTCATTTATGTATTATTACGACTCAATCACGTTTGGACTATTTTTCATTTTTCTTTCAGAATCCGCCTGTAGGAGGACATGTCCGACCTAATCGTAACGCCGTGGAGCCTCGTGGCCCTGCTGCTCGCAGTAGGGTTCAAGAACCGACTGAGTCGCTCGTGGCCGCGAGGCGCCTTGGTCCGCCTTTCGGCGGCGAGCGAGGGGGGAGGGAAGTGAGAAGGAGAAGGCCTTCTCGGAAGGCGGCGGGACTGCTCAGAGTCCCTCGCGCCTTCTGAGAGGCTTTTTACTCGTGCCTTCGGGGAAGGCTTCGAAAACTTCTCACAAGCCCGGAGGACTTCCGAGCCTTCTGAGGATTGGGGGCCCCCAAACGGGGCGGTGACCACACCGTGCGGTGAGTCGGTGGGGATTCGGGGTCACCACACGGTTTTGGGACTCGGGTCCCTCTCCGAGGACGTCTCGGACGACGGGGGCCTCGGGGGTCCCAAGACCGTGCGGTGACGGACCGTGCGGTGAGGTCTTGGGGGATTTCGAGGTCACCGCACGGTCCGTCACCGCACCGTTTCTAGACTTCAACGACTTGGCATCGCTCGGACGTGTGCGTTTTTTTCTCGGCGGGGACAAGCGAGGAGCATATCCTGGATCCTCTGGCGAGAAAAAAGCACGCACGAAACCGACAGATGCACGGGGAGTGGACGCCCGAGCGATGGCGAGAAGAGGAGACCCGCCCCTTCTCGCTCCCCCCCCGCGCGCTGGCCGCCAGGCCTTCGGCCCTCGCGTGCCTGGCGCGGCCCAGGACCTCGCTCGGTCGACCGGGGCCTCACGGCCCTCCGCGGCTCCCGACGCCCTGCTGCTCGACTGCCCTTCGTGGCCTCGTGGCCCTCCGGAGGCGCTCGCGCGTGGGCGCTCTCCCGGCCGCTCCTGGCGCCCGCGGGCAGGACAGAGCTCAAGAGCCGACTCGGCAGCTCGTAGTTTCGTGCCCCCCTCCTCCTCCTCCTCCTCCTTCTCCTCCTCCTCCTCCTCCTCAAGAGCCGACTCGGCAGCGGGTAGGACAGAGCTCAAGAGCCGACTCCCCCCGTCCAGGGGAGGGAAAGGTGCCTGCACTGCTACCCTTCCGCCCATGCTGCTGCCCCTCCCTCGCTCTACAAACCTGTGGGCCTCCCGGGTGGCCCTCGCCGCCGCCGCTGCATCCGCCTCGAGATGCTGGCCAGACCGCGCCCCGGGAGAGGTCCGGGGAGCAGCGGTGCCGGCACCTTCTGGTCTCCCCACCCGTTGGGGGCCCTTGGGCCCTCGGGGGCGGGGAGGAGGAGGAGGAGGAGGAGGAGGAGGAGGAGGAGGAGAGGAGGAGGAGAGGAGGAGGAGGAGGAGGAGGGCGCAGGGGCCGCGCATCTCCCCTGCAGCCCGTGTGCCCAGTGGCCTCCTCTCGCGCTGCCTGCCGGCGTGGCGGTTTCGGCGTCGCCCGTGGCCTCCTGTCGCCCCTCGTGGCCCCCGTCGGCGGCCAGCCTCATCCTCCTTTTCCTCCCTCCTCCTCCTTCCCTGCTCCTCCTCCTCCTCCTCCTCCTCCTCCTCCTCCTACTCCTCCTCCTCCTCCTCCTCCTCCTGCCTGGGTGGAAGTGAGAAGGGGCGGGCCTTCTCCGAAGGCTCGGCAGTTCCCCAGCCTTCTGAAGACGTTTTGCTGAGCCCTCCCCGAAGACACAGGAGGCTTCTCAGAAGGCGCGAGGGCCTCGAGAAGTCCCGCCGCCGTCTGAGAAGGCC